AGCCCCCCCCCCCGGGCGGCCTGGCCCCCGCGCGGACACGTGCTGAGCCAGCTGCGGGCGGGAGGGGCTGAGGGACTCGCCTATCTGCGGCTTTTCTTTTTCCCCTTAGTCACACACGGGTAGGAAATGAGGGGTAGAAGGGACCTCAGGAGGTCATAACCCCCTGCTCAAGGCGGGACCAGACGAGGCTTTGTCTGCTCGGGTCTTCACGTCTCCGAGGACGGTGCTTCCGCCACCTCGCTGGGGAGCCTGTGCCAGCGTTTCACCCTCCTAGTGAGAAAACTCGTTCTCCTCACTAACCTCAACCCCCCTGCTGCAACTGGAGACCGTTGCTCCTTGTTCTGTCATCTGCCACCGCTGAGAACAGTCCAGCTCCGCCCTCTTCTGAACCCCCTTCAGGTAGGTGAAGCCTGCGATTAAGCCCTCTCTGTGTCCTCTTCTCTCGACTAATAAACCCAGTTCCCTCAGTTTTTGTGTCACAAGTCATGTCTCCCAGCCCCCTCATCATTTCTGGTGCCCTTCACTGGACTGTCTCCAATTTGTCCACATCCTTTCTGTAGTGGGGGGCCCCAAAACTGAACACAGGTCACTTCCCTTGACCTACTTGCAACACACCTATGAATGCAGCCCAGTAGTACGCCGTTAGCCTTTGTGGCAACAAGGGCATGCTGCTCACTCATGTTCAGCTTGTTATCCACTGTAGCCTCCTAGTCCTTTTCTGCAGAGCTCTTGCTTAGCCTATCAGGCCCCAGCCTGTCCTGGTGCATGGGATTGTCCTGTCCTAAGTGCAGGACTTTGCACTTGTCCTTGTTGAATCTCATGAGATTCCTTTTGGCCCAATCCTCCAATTTGTCTAGGTCACTCTGAATCCTACCCTCCAGCATCTCTACTACTCCCCCCAGCTTGATGTCATCTGCAAACTTGCTGAGGGTGCACCGCATCCCATCTTCGAAGTTGGTAAAGACACTGAACAAAACTGGCCCCAGTACGGACTCCTGGGGTACTCCATTTGATACCAGCTGCCAACAAAACATCAAGCCTGATTATTATTCTACGAGCCTAATGCTCCAACCAGTTTTCTACTCACCTTACAGTCCATTCATCTAGCCTGTACTTTCTTAGCTTGCCTGT